TCAGCAACTCTGTTTATCGAAAAAAAATGAACTGATGGGATTCTTTTGGTTTTCATCCCACTGTGCAGTTAGCTTGTTTCTGTACTGTGTGCCTATTTTTAAATAGAAAATTTTTTTTTGTCCTGAAAGCTGGTTGGTGCGTTGGCATGTAGATTTTCGTTTTTTCCGTTTTTTTTTTCTTTTATTTTGACTGCACTGAGGCGCTTTTATTCTCCCCTCTTCGTATACTTGTTTTTCAATAGATTTGATCAGAATTCCTCTCTTAAATCCCGGTTTCTGTTTTCTAACACTTCCGCTCTTTCCATCATACAGCTGGGTTTGATGTTAACAGAGAACACATAGTCTTCGCAAATGTTAATTGGGCATTTTTTTACCATTCCAATAAAAAAAAAACTGTCTTAATAATGTTTACTTATTGTTTTATTATAATTTTCCATAATTTGAATTTTTTTGATGTAATGCACTATTTTGTTCTGCCGTTGTTTTTACATGCCGTCGAGCGCCAGTTGAAGCTGGCTGTCTTTGTGAAAGAACTGCAACAGCTTGAGATCAATCTTGGAATTCTTGGTTCCTGTTTTTACTTTTTTTTTCGTTCTTTTGAAGACAAATGCTCGAGATTTTTCTTGCTCTTCTGTTAGTGACAACCCTGGCGATCCTGCTTGCCATGGTCATTTTTCCGGAAGAGGCTGTGCTTTGAATTAATAGCACATGAATTTGCCAGACTCTTGACGCTCTGTCAAATCAGTGCCATGAAGCATCCACATGATTTCCGGACTCCTCTGTACGATCGTCTTGGAGTTCTTTTGATCGGTATATTTTGTTACCTATCGATAGATTGTTACTCGCCAAAGCCTTGTTTGCACAGCGTGAGCCTGTTTGACCAATTATCTCCAACCATACCATAAATCGCGGCCATTTGGGCATTTATGCCTGACTGTTCAAAATGGCCTCTGTATTTCATCACGTTTAGTAAGCGGTAAACATAATCTTTTCGATTGAAATGTTCACGCGATTTTCTTCCTCGAGCTTTTCTCTAGAGCTTTACTAGTGACACTTCCAAAGTCTCTTCCCGGCATCAAAGATTAATCGAATCCGAAACGTGTTGGCACCGTCCGTTTCAACCCCTCTAGAGTTTCCAGGGAATGACAGAAGCGCATTTGATACCTTGTTTGCTTACTTCACGTCTTTGCTTCCTCATCAAATAACAGCCCGTCTGGATCAAAAAAGCCTGAGGAAATTACCTAATTTTTGGAAAGCTCTAGTTTTAGTCAAGTTTTTGAGCATTCATAAGCCTAGCAAAATTTTTCCGCTGCAGGAGCAATTGCCTATGGCATGCGGAAAATTTCGAAGCTTTTGAAACTGCTGGAGCTTTTCTGACATCGAAAATTTTTTGCATTAATATCGTACATCTGGCGTACCCATGGGGAGTGAGCTACGAAG